TTCAAACAAAACCATTCACTACTTGATCTTTTAGAGATTCTCTCACCGTCCTCTGCTGCTCTGGACTAGCATTAGCCAGATTTGAAGCCAAAGCTCCAATAGGCAATGGCATGTTGTTGCCCATGTCATATGGAGGCACATCACCACTACCACCACGGCCTTGGGGTCCTTGTGGGTACCGGAACATCCGACCCCTTGGATGCATCTAACCACCAGTCAAACAGATATATCATATGATCAACTATTAAGCGAGAGATGAGCAAGTAAAGCAGCTTTTATTGCAACTCAATAAGGAAAAGAGAAGAACCTGTGGCTGCATCATGGGATTTTGCTGCTGGGACTGTTGGATTCCCCCAGGGCGTCTTCCTCCTCCAGGACGCTGCTGCTGTTGCTGAACCATAGGCATGAAAAAATTGGGTGGCCCTCCACCAGGTCTCATTCCAGGAACAAGCTGCTGTTGGAACCCATACCCAGGCTGTGGCATTCCACAATCACAAGTTATTATAATCCGGATAAGTCTCAAAACATAATCGGAAAGGCTCAAGTATGTGTATCGCAACTATTGACTCCAAAGATTTTAAATCTTCTCCTGTGACTTAAAAGCATTGGGTAGCTTGTAGAGCAAACATGAAGAATTACCTGGGGAGGAATCATGGAAGGAGGCGCCTGACCATAGAACATTTGTTGTCCAATACCAGGACCACCGGGGGGATACATTGGCATGCGGGGACCAACAGATGGCGGCATTGCAACTGGCCTCACTTGGGAGAACTGAGCCTATTCACATCATGTAGACAATCAGCGGCAGGAGAACACAAATGAGAGATGTATGTGATACAAATACTAGGACAATAGACGTAGTAGCTATATAACAAGATGAGGTGATTCCAAGAGAGGCAAACCTGTAGTCTGACCCTTCTGTCTTCCTTCCGCTGAGCAATTGCAACATATAGTGGCTTGCTTTCAATCATTTTACCGCTCAACTGTGACATCTGTACAGGATTCCACAGTTAGTAATAATCGAAGTTCATTTTCTCACACATCCAACATGACAATATAACTGACTTACAGCTTCAGTTGCTTCTTCAGGAGATGAGAAAGCAACAAAACCCGAGCCTTTGCTTGTTCCATTAGGATCCCGCATCACCTGTCACATTATATGAAAGAGATTCTTAAATAGTGAATTAGAAAGGTCAAATCACTCCAGAGAAAGAGAGAGAAGAATATTGGACCTTGCAAGATGTAACGGTACCAAAAGGAGAAAATATCTCTTTAAGTTTCTCATCTGAAATGCTAGGATCCAAATTCTTCACATACAAGTTCGAACTTTGAAACTTGTCTGCAGCTTCCTTCAAATTCTGTTCATACCGGACCCTTAATTCTGTTTCCCGCTCGGACTTCTTCTGGGCTCTACCAACATACCACTCCTTATCATCAAATTTGTGTCCATTGAGAGCCTCCACAGCCCTAGCAGCATCATCAGCATTTTCAAAGTTAACAAACCCAAAGCCCTTAGACTTGCCATCTCCATCTTTCATCACCACAGCACTTGTTATCTTTCCATACTCAGCAAAAGCGTTCATCAAGTCATCATCGGTAGTATTTTCCCCGAGATTCTTCACATACACATTGGTGAATTTGGATTTGTTTGCAGTCGAGTCTCTCTCTTGTCTCCTCAGGAAAGGACCCACGTACACTTGCTTGTCATTAAGCAACATGCCGTTCAGTTTCTCTATAGCTTGCTGGGCAGATTCTTCACTGGCATATTGCACAAACCCATAGCCTTTTGATTGGCCTGAAGAATCCACAGCTATCTTACACGACACAATGTTTCCAAAAGTTGAAAATGTATCATGCAGTGCTTTGTGGTCGATGGACTCGTCCAAATTCTGCATATTTATAGCCAGGTTAGCAACAGAAAGAAAGAAAGAGCGAACACTCGAAAAAAAAGTACACAACAAAAGAAATCAATTACTTAAGAAAGTCTCTTCAATGGGATTAAACAATATTAAATTTTTTTCCAAACAATCATCTCGTTTAACAGAGACTCAAATGACTTTGGCAGAAACGAAAAGCAGGGGAGCACACAGACAAGACAAGCAAGCATACCTTGATAAAAATGTTCCCAGCACCACTTCGGCGAACACTAGGATCACGGTGAGAATACATAACCCTTATAGGTTTACCATAAAGAGGTATGTAATTCAGCTCTTGGATGGCTCTTGCAGCTGCAACAAAGACACAAGATAAAAGTACAATTAGAAGACAAGATAAGATGTACGCATGAGAAAGATTGATTAAGCAGAGGCTAAGTTTTCTCGGAACAGCATCAACCACATTGCATCTATACAAACACCGGAAAGTATCAACATTTCCAAAACGTTCAAGTTAAATCTAGTACCAGTACTATCGAGCAAACCCTAATATCCTTTTAACATTCTATAACATCGAAAATTGCTTGTTTGCAAAAAAAAAAACTCAAAATTTGAATAGACTAACCATCTTGGGGATTGGTGAAGTTAACGTATCCATAGCCAAGTGATCTGCGAGTGGCCAAATCCCTACAGACACGAACCGAGACAACTTGACCCATTTGGCTAAACGCATCGAAAAGCTGCGAGTCCGTCACATTGAGATCAAGATCCCCCACATAAAGCGACGTGGTGCCGAACTGGGCGGCGGCTGCTCCTCCTGGCGTGACCGGTGCAGCAGCCACGGTCGAACCATTCGCAGCCTGACCCTGAAGTTGAACCTGCGCCATTCTCTTCTCTCTCTTTTTTTGGGTTTTTCGAAACTTTTTTGACTTTTTTGGGGGTTTTTGTTACTCTTCCCTCCCCTCTCGTTATTATAGTGAAACCAAACTAAGAACCCTAAGAAACTCAAAAACAACAAAAGAAATCGAATCGGACGGCAAAATCAACAAAAAAGCTAAGCGAAGGTTTTTATCTTTTATGTGGCTTTTCTGTTTTTTTTTTTTTGGGGTATAGCAGAGGAGAGGGAAGATGAAATAAGGGTAAGAAATTGCCGGCGGCGATGCCTGCGACGGCGAAGTGAGATAATGGAGGCGAGACTCAAGCGATTGCTAAAGATGGAATACGGTTTCCTCTATTCTCTGCTTTTATATTAAACCAAAATAAAAATATATACATTTTTATTTTCCCTTAGAACCCTAGGAGGAGTGGTGAAAGATCTCAGCCGTTAGATTGAGTCTGAAGTAAAACGTAAAGATTTTAATTTTCACAGTTGGACAGTCTTCGTTCTCGTCACTCTCGGAAAAGTCAAAACAGATGCGCGCGTGCCTTACGTGGGACTTGGGAATGCATTTTAGCAACTAAACTTGATTTAGTAACCAAGTTAGACAGTGATGATGATATTTAGTGAGTCTAATAATTTCTACGAGATTTACCTTGTCATAATTATTCCAATTCAAATTTAATATGTGCTGATGACATATAATTACTTATTTTGAATATTTCTTTTTGATGTTTTTACAACATTTTTGTAATTTTGTTTCGATTGTATTATCTTATCAATTTTTTTTTTTTTTTCATTGTGTATTCTTTTTTTTAATCACATAGGCACAGTTTTAGATTTGACATATCTAAATAACTTATATTTAGCATTTTTGTTTGATTTATCTTTACATTGTTTTTTTTTGGTTAAAAGATATTATAGTATGTCAGTATGCTGTATGTATAACATTTCTTATTAGCAAGTTCCAAGTCAAAAAGGTAATGTTGAAAACTTTTCAAAGTAATTGTTATTATACTCTAAATTCTAAAATTCTAAAATTCTAAATCTATTTCCATATGTATGCAACAAAAATAACATAATCAATAACCAATTCAAAATACTATTTTCTTTCTAAGCTTCTTGTTGGGTTGCACGTCGAAACCTTAGTCCATTATCATTTATCAACATCTCCCTCACGTCCTAACTCCTAAGACACCATCTCCTGCATCTTCACTACTTTGGTTTTCTTTAGCCAAAACAGCTTCCCCGAGGTTATGGACTCTCCGACCAATGAAATAACGGGCATCACGGATAGAGTTGTGAAGGTTTCTCGTTTCTGAACCACACAAGACAGGGCCTCTAGCAGCAGCCAAAAGCCATGACACGTGATACAGTATAACCCGAGGCCGTCCTAATGTGAAAAGGGCACAAATATCACAACACCAAGGAATATCATATTGCTTGCTAGAACCTGCAAAATTAAGAACATCACAAGATTTAAAAAAGGTCCAATAGTAAAGAACAAAATGGTAATTATAAAATATGAATAACAAGAGAGGAACACATCAACTTACCGTAAAAGGTATTATCAACCAAATGAAACACTGGCCCTTGCATTCCAACCAGCTCATCAAATGGAACGTTCTTCTGCACCATCGAAATCATCCAAACCATCAAACATCTGTTCAACCCGAGACTCGAGACGAACTGCTTGTATGTCCAACCTTGCCAAGACATTTTTCAGCATACACTGGAGAGAATGAAAACGATGCTTCCAAACCTGCAGCGATGAAGTTACCTACTTGTTCTCTTCTAAGTCGAACTAATACTAAAGATGTTCACACATAAACTGTGCAACTGCAATTCGTTCCCCCAATATCCGTTATTTGATTCATTTCGATCATTTTTCGTAACTTTATGAAGAGTTAATTGAGATCATTTTTACAATTTTACCAAAACGATTTAGGCCACCTTTTCTCCATACAATAAAATCTTCAAAACTGGTACGAAAATAGAATAGAATCAACTATCACAATCACAGTAAGAAAGGCAAAGAAGGGATCACCTGCATCGACCTTATATTTATAACTTCATCTTCCGTAAACACTACTAAATCGAATAAGTAACTAAAAATTAAAAGACCAAGCAAGTAAAATCCAAAGAACAAAGCAGATATGTTTTTCTTTTGGTGATTTTAAAAACAAGGTTTAAAACAACACAAAAGTGGAAGTTATGTGGAGGAAAACAAATTCCCCCTGATAAAACGAATACGGAAGAAACAACTCCAATTGTATGCGAGAGACAACAGCCAAGATCAAATGGTAAAACAAGTTAAGAGAGGTTCAAGGATGCAAGCTGCTCGGCTGCACCACCAGCTGCAACACTCCTTAGAACATCCATAGCCTCTGCAACTTTGGCCTTGAGAGCTTCTGGTGACTCCAATAGATGGAGCACTTCCGTCTGGTCCATTTCCAAAAGCATCCCAGTTACTTTTGCTGCAGACTCTGCCTCAATCTGCTCCACCAACGGGTATAGATTCTCACCCAGCAT